GGCAAGACCAATGTTTACTAAACACCACACGTAACCATTGAACTATCTAAATAAAATTGAAGTGCATTAATTTTATAGATTATTCCTGCCATACACGACTAGGAAATGGTGTGACGTGTCCTACAATTAAAATTCCCAAGAAATAAAATTAATATTAATTACAAATCAATAAGTCTAGAATACCTTATTTTTATTTATTTATTTAATCATTTTGGGAGTCGTTTAGAAAAACAAAATATTGTTAAACGTTTAATTATTCGATTAATTCAATTATTAAAAAATTAATTCTATGTACATGTATAATTTAGTGTATATTTAAAGAAATTAAATGTTTATGTACATGTAATGGGACGATTTTTTTTTTTTTATTAACAAACCCCGATATTTTCATTGAAAATTATATAAAAATGGCATTACTAGATCACCGTAGAAAACATAACGAACGATGGAAATCCCAAATTATTACTATGTGAAGCCTAGATGGATAGTATTAGTTTATAGACTATTTATGCAGGGTCTTGGTTTTTTAAAGCAAGTTTGTAACTCTGGTTTAAACCACGACGGATGCACGTGCAGTAGATTTTGGCAAATTCCCAAATGTGCAGAAATACACAAAACACTCGATATTGGTTTTGGCAAATAGCAATGGTGGAAAAAAGGTGTCATATTTTGTGAAAAACATGCATAGGGTTCCACTTGATAACAAATATGACGTCATTTGAATGTTGCATTGTATGGAAATTCGTAAAAATTAAAAATATGATAATTAATAAAAGGATTTGGGTCAAATTAAACTGTACCTCGATTATGTTGAGCTGGATTAGCAGGTAACAGGTAAACTAAGGAAGTTACAGTGACTCTGAGTCAGGTGCCTGCTCGACAATGGCGACATCATGTTCAGAACTGCATGAGTTTCTACAGCTAGGCCTTCTCTATGTTTTAGGTCTGGATACGGAACTTCTTGTGATTTCTCTGAAATAAGGTCTTCTGGCCTTCGAAGCTCTTGATACACGTAACATATTTACTTGTATTTGACAATAAATCAGCAGATGATGATCGATTAATTCTTTTAAAAAATCTTTGCGTCTGCTTCGTTCAATTTACAGATTCAAAAAATCTTTGCGTCTGCTTCGTTCAATTTACAGATTCAAAAGGAATATTCTAGAAGACATGCGCATACAAGAAATATCAAGAATTTTTTAAGCACCGAGCCCGATGATTTATGACGTTCAATGTTAAGAAACTAAGAGTTATCTATCTTTGCATGTAAAACATTAAGCTGCACGAAATAACCAGGTTTATCCATATTGGATAAACCCCATTAAGTAATTCAATTTTGATTGTATTCGAATTCTATCCTCTGTTTGGTTAATATATCTAAAAATGAAACAAAAACCAGCTGAATCATCTGTATCCATACAATCCTCTCATTTCCAGTCTCGGAATTCACGGAAAATTGCAGATTTAATAACTGTACCTTTAACTTCAAACAATAATTCGATCTTACCACATGTAAACAAACAACAAGGCTGCTAGGCCTATGTATCAGTTTTTACCTCCCCTTGCTTCCAATCACTTCCGTTACTCGGGACTACATGTAATAAAAAGCAACGAAATTTTACACCCACAGTTGTTTAAAGATTTTAGACTTTAATTTTGAGGAGTGACTCTAATTTTTGGCCAAATTATTCAAACACATATTCGAATTATACTCGAATAATTTGGCCAAGAATTAGACTCATTCCTAAAATGATTATCAGTTCAATCTCTTTTCAACTTATAATAAAGCCATCCAAGAGGTGTGAAATTTATGCCATGATATTAAAAGCACAGACAACTTTATCCTGAAATTCTTCTGTGGGTTTTGGATTTAATCATTGATTGTTTGTGTGTTGTTTTACGTCATGTTAGATAATTTTGCATAAATATTCTGACATTTAAAGACGGCACCATACAATTTTTAAAATTAGACCTTTACGGGGCACCTAGGACCACTGAGCAGTGAGGGAGATCTCTGTCATGCCAACGCCTGCCGTGACACGGAGCCTCGGTTTCAAAGGTCTTATACAAAGGACTCCCAACTTTTACTTTGAAGTACAAAGCGCTTGGCGAAGGAGTAGTTACTACCTATTTTTTATCGACTTAGGTCAGCTGCGACCAAGGATCCAACCCTTCGATCACGGATTTCTGCTAATTATCTGACTTCTTATCATTTTGTGTCTGTGTGATTTGTAACAAATAAATGTACAAAGATTATTCTTTTTGTAACTTGTAAAGCAGAACAAATGATAAATACTTTCTTCGTGTCTTCTCGTAAAATTCTAGTCAATGTTACTGTATTGATGTAAATTATAAGTAAATTCACACAAAATTGAAATATGACCAATCAGATTTTGTATTAATCTCATTTTATTTTTTTAAAAAGTGCGACATTGTTTCAATGAAACAATTAACAGATTTAAAAAAAATAAATAACACAGAATTAGGTACTCAATGTTTATTTTTCAAACATCACAATTCTTTTACTACTACGACACAAAACATGTTGATAGAGGCATTATTGAAAACAAGAGAAAAAAAATGAAAAGGCAATGATTATATTTGTGTTTTATTGATAGAATTTCCTTTGTGGTGCTATTTGCCGTTGTGCTATCATCCCATGACCTCAAATGGCGATTTCTTATTTTTACTGTATAAAGAAAACATTACATATATGTTAAACACTATATTCTGTACCTTTTATTAAAAAAAATACTGTAATTCTAATGGTTTTTGTTTTCTTTCAAATTATCAAATCATAAAATTCAGAGCATGATCTATGTATATTAATAGAAATGAAACTTTAAACCAATTTTCATAAAAGTGTACTCAGTTTTCAATAACCTCAGAAAAAAATTAAAATAAGGGTTTGGGTTCGCTCCATATTTTGATTTTCAAAAATAAAATCTTGTCTTTCCACGTTCTTCAACTTACACAACACTAAAGCACAGGACTTTTTCATATGCGTTTATACTTCAAAATAATAACAATTATTTAAACATATCCTTATTAAAAGAATAAGCTCCGAACACTTAAAATTTGGTAGTACATGTATTTGGTTGGATGACTTCTTGATAAAATTATTGACAAAATATTTTTACAGCACCTTTATTGTCTGTTAGTATGTAAGCAGATGAATTACAACTATCTACTTCTAGAGAACACGTATTGTAGGACAAACCCGGGAGATACACTGGTTCTTCCCATATTAAAACAATTAATGTATAGCGGAAATCAAAAACAAAAAAAAATACCAAAAAGTGGCATGATCATTCAATGAGAACAGCTTATTGTCAACATTTACATTTCAAATTAGTACAACCTTTTTTTAACAATGTTAGTACCATTGAAAGATTTGAGTTGTCGAACACTTTCTTTTTAAAGAACTTATTCGAAACAAACACTCAAAATATCATTTACATTTTCAATTACAATGGATCCCTCATGTCTGTCCTTTACTTAGAAATAATTTTAATCTGTTGAATTAAAAGGCCTACTTCAAGCAGTGATGGGCTATAATGAACACATATAATTACAAGAAGTCCTATTACTATTGTGCTTGTGTGTTACTTTTACTAAAATGCATAAATATGAAATGAGATATATTTGATATGCTTAAAACAGAAATGATGTGAAAGATCTGAATGAAAATTTTTACAAGAATTGTGCAATGGTCCACTTCTCACATATAATATAATAATAAGATAAGAACAGTGATTAAGGTATATATTTTCTTGTTTAATGCTTATAAAGTACTGTGAAGCATATGAAATAAGCGCTGGTTGTGAATAAACAGTTTTAGCATAACCAGTAACAAATATATATGGAACTCAGCAAACAGAGAGTATTCTAGTCGTGAAAGTTATCACACAAATTGGTTTTTGAGTAATTTATATCATACACAAAAGCCTAGTTATGGTTAGATTGTAGGAACACATGAATGATACAATGTTGATGGTGGTCAGTGAGTTTAACTTCCCTAGCACTGGTCTTTTGAGGTGACAATCCAGCTATGAACTTTAGGATTGCAGAATTCATCCTGCGAAGTTCATGACGTCATAAGACGAATATCGTGCGCTTCTGCAACAAAACATCAACTTCGTGTAAAAGTTTATGTTTCCTAAAATTCCCCTTCAAACTTTAACAATTTAAATTTTCTTCTCATATCATTTGTAGGAAAAAATATTTTGGAGTACTTTGATAAAATATTTCATAGAACAGTTGCATGACTTTTACCAAAACATGCACCATGCTTTGAAAATTGAAACTTTTAGATGGGGCCATTCAACGCAGTATATTTGCTTTGGGTTATACACATGAATATGAAGCTACTATGATGCCATGTGATGCAAATATCAGTTATCTGTAGCGCTAACAGTACATGAACATCCAAGAGTATTGACCTGTGAAAATAATGATAAATAATGATTTTAATTCAAAGCAATCTCTTCCTTCCTTCAATATCTTCTTCATTCATTCCGCTTCAAGCGATATTCCTCAAAGCACCGCAGCACATATAAGCAATAAATTGCATGCATATTAAACACTCCAGTAAGCATGCGCACTAAGGATGTCAGAAATGAAATTTCAGCATATGCGATAAATATGGGTGATTCACATGAGAAATCGGTGTTATGCGAGTTGGAAATACTTTGTATTCCAGTTTTCTGAAAGAAAGAGTTGATTTTAAATGATGGCATACTATGAATCTATAATATTGTTTATAAAAGATTTCAGCATTCATTGATTATATCTGTTGATTAGATTTTTTTGTTAACTTGCATATTAGATAGGCTATCAGAAAAAAATTATGTTAATTAATGATTACCCTGTACTTTTTTCTTGCAAATTTATTTTTATTACTGTGTCATCATCGGTTAAAGAGAACATGCAAACAAAGCAATAAGCAAATATGGAAAGCCATGCGATGCAGTATGTCAGTAATAATACACTTGAATACGTTACCTATTAGAAGTTGCTGCCTTGGTCTTCTTTTTCTTTGCATTTGCTATCCTGACAACTTTCCCTAGTCTGGCAGAAACACCTTTGAGAATGTCCCCGGGGCACATTGGACATTCCGGGCATACGAAGAATGTTTCGGGTGTGTAAGTTTTTACCGGATTACCACACGCTAGAGGGAAGGGACACTGTTTTGTAGGGCAAACCATGTTTTGAAGGTTTGGAGCAACACCCTGAAAAGAGCATACCGCACGATTTTGTTTATTTCAAAGTAAAACGGCGATAAAATGATATTTAATTTAAGTCTGAATAAAAATCGTACATATTGCAGTTATATTAGCCATATAAAGATTTAAAAAATTATCTACAATGTAGAAAATAAAGTCTCATATTCTTGTTGATTTCAGAATGACGGATGAATGAATCAATCAAATCAGTATTCGCTCGAAGCATATAACATGGCAAATGGGGATTAATGACAGTGAATGCATTGCTTTAACTGAATAAATTAATAATATTTGGAATTTGATGTGAGGATATGGTAACAGATTATCTTTTTCATACGTACGATTCCGTCTTTAGCGAGTTCCAGAATTTTTGCCACTGGTAGGTTAGGGTTGAGGTTACTGGGTTTGAGGGTTTCTGAAAACACTGCTCCTAGGTTGCCATTAGGAACGGTTTCTATGGCAGCTGCAGCAGCTTCGGCAGCTTCCTTCTTCTTTCTCTTCAACTGAAGTTTTTTGATAAGGTCTGCAAGTGATTGTTCCTTTCCCAAAGTAGCCGAGGAACCTCCTTTGAAGCAGAATTATATAAAGACAAAGAAAAAAATCAAAGTTTAGAAACACGGTGCAAAGCATATGCTAAAGAGGCTTATTTTTCAACGTTCTCTACTAAAAAAAATTAATGGCATTTGAAAAATTTATAGAAACATCTTAACAACTGTATTGAAATTATTAAGGTAAAAGAATATACCCATCGGAATCATAATAAACCATAAGCATTCATGAAATTTGATGACTTATTACATGTACCAATAAAGCTCGTAATTAATTCATGATAATTGATTGTAAATAATTAATAACCTAAAACAAGTAATTAATATTGGTGATTCTTTCTAAATCTCTTGTTAACAAACCTATTGATAGATTGATGGTTGACACTGGTTTCACTGTAGCTGGTTTGGTTGGTTTGGGGGTAGTGGGGGCTGGAGGAATAAGGTCGTTTAATTGGCTGAGCTGAGTTAGCATGTTTGTGTCCAGTAAAGGTGCACTCTGCATGTCTATCAGAGCCGACAAGGTAGCTGGGTCGATACCTTTACAAATGAAAAAAGAAATATGATTCGAAAGTCGATTTATTTCTTCTCTGTATGTGTACTTAATCAAAATAGTAAATATATTGTATTACAGATCATCATTTTGCATCGAATTTGTCATTTCAAATAAATTCTTTGATATAGTATCAGGTTTTGGGGAATGGAGGGTTTAAATTCTATTTTGATTAAAGAAAACTTCGTTTCAGGGAATTTGTTAAAGATTTCAATAAAAATATGGACATTATAAAACGATTTTTGTCCCAAATGGACAGTACATTTATTTATAGAACTGGAATACCCCCTGCTGACGCCCCGCCTCCGGAAGTTAACAACTGCCTCATTGTGGGATCTGTCAACATTTGCATTGGGTTCTCCATCAGAGATCCCAAGTTTAAAGAAGACTCACCTGGCGAAGACATTCAAATAAAACAACTCAATTGTATATTTTGGGTATTTTACTTAAATTAACAATTCTTTGTTTGCATGATTGAGTCAAACATGCATTTACTAGTATCGAAGTTAAATCATTGTCAATCTGTATCTCTATTCTTTGTAAGCTTGTCAAGCATAGATTGAAAATTCCAAGATATATTCCATGCCATTCGAAATCTGCATTTCTAAATAGAAACTTTATTTAGAAATGGTGCATCAAGATGAAGCCCCAAAGGATAAGATAGAGTAAATCCTTTCCATACGCTTCAAATAAAAATAAGTGCTGTCATCTAAAGCATAATTTTAAAATGTGAGTGCAAAGAATCACAATTCTAACTGTGTATTAATTTTATAGCAAATAGGCAGTTATCATACTATCTCAATTTTTTACTGATATCTTAATAATTAGTTTGTAGGGATTTGATATCGCTTTTTCAATCTTTATCATTTCTGCTTCGAATACTACTTCATTACTCTAGGTCCTTAAATGTATTTTTAATATGTTAACAGCCCTTGGGCCTTACATGAATTTATTTTTTCTATTCCGATAACATATCATGCTTACCTCCTAGGCCCCCGATTCCACCCCCTAAACCTCCTAGTCCGCCACCCAGGCCTGCAGCCCCCAGTCCACCTGCTCCTCCCCCTCCGCCCATCAACAGCTTGCTCATTGTGGGATCACTCAACATCTCACTCAGGGAACCGAGCTGGGACTTCCCTACAAACAAAAGAGAAACAAAATCTTTATCGTTAGCATAATGAGACTTCCCTATAAGCAAACAACATCTTTATCAGTCACATTGAGACTTCCCTACAAGCAAACAACATCTTATACAGTTAGCATCTCATCAACAGTTTGCTCATTGTGGGATCACTCAACATCGCACTCTGGAACCCCAGCTGACACAGAAGACAGAATCTTTATCAGTTAGCATCTCATCGAGAGAACAGAAATTGGCATCATCTCTCACAGGGACCAAAGCTGAGACTTCCCTACAAACAAATGGGAAACAGCATCAGTCAGCATCTCATTGAAAGTGCCGAAATAGATATCATCTCGCTCAGGGACCCGGGCTGGGTCTTCCCTACAAAACAAACAAAACTGTATCAGTCATTGTGAGACTTCCCTACAAAACAAAATCCGTATCAGTCATCGTGAGACTTCCCAACAAAACAAACAAAATCCGTATAAGTCATCGTGGGACTTCCCTACAAAACAAACAAAATCCGTATCAGTCATCGTGGGACTTCCCTACAAAACAAACAAAATCCGTATCAGTCATCGTGGGACTTCCCTACAAAACAAACAAAATCCGTATCAGTCATCATGAGACTTCCCTACAAAACAAACAAAATCCGTATCAGTCATCATGAGACTTCCCAACAAAACAAACAAAATCCGTATCAGGCATCGTGGGACTTCCCTACAAACAATAAAATCTTTATCAGTCATCGTAAGACTTCCCTACAAACAACTAGGGAACAGAATCTTTAAAAGTTAGCATCTCATCAAGAACACCGAAATTGGTATCATCTTGCTCAGTGACCCGAGCTGAGACTTCCCTACAATTAACATCTTTTTCAGATAGCATCTCCCCTTACCAAACTGATATGTTTGCTGCAGGCTTGCAGCAAGTCTGCTGCAAGCTTGCAGCAAACAAAATTGTTCGCAGGAAGAAAATTTTCTTGTTCGCAGATGATTGCCGCTAGCTGCGATCTTGCGGCAAACATTGCAGCAATTGCTGCAAGCTTGCAGCAAATTCGCAGGAACCCAACATGTTTGCAGGAACATTGCAAGAAACATTCACGCCAATTTAATGTTCGCAGCAAGTTCGCAGGAAACTTTTCACAATTCAAATGTTTGCAGGAAGTTCGCAAGAACAGTAAACAAGTCAAATCAGCCAATGAAACGCAGATTGTACTGGGTCAACACAAAACTGGCCATTTTGAAATGTTAGAATTGAAGTTGTACATGTTTCAGTATTTTGGTAGGAATATACATCGATTTGAATGATTAAAAGTGCCAAACTCTGGATGTATGTGTTCATTCTATCAATGATATCTAATTGGTAAGAAATGATTTTAATTTATTTTGATATTTGAAAGAATATTTCTTAAAAGCACATTTGAGTAACTGATGTAAATGCTAGGTCAAATCTAAATCTGTTTCTTATGAATTTCAGTCCTCTTTTTGATATCACATATGTGTACTTCTTAAAAGTATTAATGGACCCAAATCAGTTAAATGTTATCAAATTAATTAGTAAATGTGTAATCACAAAAATATTCATTAAAAATTATATGTAAAGTTCTTAAAGTTCTGTTTATATAAAAAGCTATCATGCACTTTCATTTTAAAAAGGTATGAAAACTTTGTCTAGGAACGTAAAGAGGGCCTATCATAACTTTATAAAACTGCATTTTTTTCAGAAACGTGGTGGATTTTCTCTAGACTTAACAGATTTAGGTCAGGACAAAGGCTTTCTGTGAACTTGCTGCTTGTACAAAGGAATGTGCCAAAACCATAAGGAAATTGTTTGCTGCAAGTTAGCAGCAATGTTTGCTGCAAGCTTGCTGCAATGTTTGCGGCAGGCTTGCAGCAATGTTTGCCGCAAGCTTGCAGCAATGTTTGCGGCAGGCTTGCAGCAATGTTTGCCGCAAGCTTGCAGCAAGGTTCCCTTATTTGGAAAATCCAATGTTTGCTGCAGACTTGCAGCAAACCTCATTTGCATGGTAAAATGTTTGCAGCAAGCTTGCTGCAGACTTGCCGCTAACTTGCTGCAAACACCAAGGCTTTGTATAGACTGTCATGCTTTCTTTGGCTACATTGCCGCAAGCTTGCAGCAATGTCTGCTGCAAGCTTGCAGCAATGTTTGCTGCAGACTTGCAGCAAATATTTGCAGGAAGGCAATATTTTCGGTAAGGGTCATCAGGAGAACAGAAATTTGTACCATCTGGATCTGAAAGACAAACTAAGACTTCCATATGAACCAGTGGTAACCAAAAATCTTTATTAATTGGCACCTGGCTCAAAGACCCAAGCTGAGATTTCCCAACAAATAAATGGGAAACAGAATCTCATAAGAGAAGCGAAACAGGAATCATCTCGCTCATGGACCCAAGCTGAGTCATCCCTACAAACGAATGAGAAACAAAATCTTTATCAGTTAGCATAGTGAGACTTCTCTTCAAACAAATGGGAGACAGAATCTCTTTCAGTTAGCATCGTGAGACTTTCCTACAAATAAATTCCAAATTTTCTCTCAGGATCTCACACAGCCAGAGCTGTGACCATATGAATATTTAGATATTAGCATTTCACTCAGGGATTTGAGCTGCGACTTTATTACAAGCGAAAGGCCATCAAATTCTTTATAAATCAGCATTTCGATCAATAAGAGAACCTAGCTGAAACTTCCCCATATACTGTTCCTTTTTTTTTTTTTTTTTTTTTGATTTCCTTTGTTTGACGTTCCTTTTGAGAACTTTTCACGCATGGAAAACAATATCATCATTATTATCCTACAGTATCCCGCCCATGAACTATATGTCTATAAAGAATGTTTCATAACACATGGTATCTGATTTAAAAATAAAAGAAGTATTCTTCTTCAATATAACGTTCATTAACTCTCTGTTAACAAACTTTTTATTCTACAATAATTTACTATATATGGCATGCTTGATATTTATTTTTTTTTACCTCTATAAACAACGTTAAAACTGGAAAATTCGTTTCATATCAAAATGTGGACGCAGAATACATTTACTTGTATTTTGTTCAGCAAAAATATTGATTTTCAGATTTAGTCTTTTTTTTAGATATACATGTACACTGTATGATCAAAGGATGCAATGCATGATTATCTTTAAATAAAAATGATAATTATAAGAAACATTCTTCATTGATTTTTCTGTTACTAGTATATGCAAATGACTGCACATGAACGTACATTTGAAACTAAATATGAAGATAAACATTCAAAACTTGTTTTATTATGTATATAATTAGTAACATTAAGTTTCTTGAACATTCCAGAGTGGTCAACATGTTCGGTCATTTTTCTAGAACATTCTTAAATTTTTGTATATGTCCAGATTGTTCCAGTAATATCATGTTTTAACAATTTCTAGAATATTCTAGATTTATAATACTGTATAAATACCCTGTCAATTCAATGCAGATACAATAATTGTGAATACTTTGTCGTATAAGCACTATTGAGATATAACTGGGATATATATATTTTCACTGGGACATTGTGTGCAGAAACGGACACTCTGATGTATGTATTTTTAGATTCTTGCTAAGTTTGTACTTTATGTTTCATATACTTATTATATATTACTGTAAATAAATTATTGTTAAGTTTAAATTGTGTTATTGATCTTTGCTGGCATTTCGGGTAATTCTGACCCATAACAGAATTGGGGGCTCGTCCGGGATAAAGAATTTCTTGCACTTTTGCAGTTTATTGTCAGAATTTTGTTTATTGAACCGTTAAATTTGACTATAAGCCAGCAAAAATCAACATGGTATTTTCGGTCACAGACTTTCTTAGTTCACCAAGTGTTCAGGTTTTTGATACGTTAAAAAAGGATGACTTGATCGCATTAGGTTTGCATTTTGGGTTAGATGTTAAATCCTCTCAGAGAAAGCAAGACATTAGAATTAAAGTTGCAAACAAACTAGTAGAAGAAAACGTCTTTGAAAAATATGATCTTCCAGAATATACAGTTAAATCAGAGTTAGGCTCTTACAAAATGGCAGAATATCAGTTTCAATTAGAGTTAGAGAAAATGCGATTAGAAAGAGAAAAATTAGAAAGAGAAGATCGAAAAAAAGAAAGAGAAGAGCGAGAAAGAGAAAGAGAAGAACGAGAGCGTGAACGAAAATTTGAATTAGACAAATTAGCAGCAGAAAGAGAAGAGCGTGCAATGAACTTTGAATTAGAGAAATTAAAATTACAAAACCAACCAGAACCGTCAGTTGTCAAATCTGAATTTGACACAGCAAAAAATATCAGATTAGTTCCAAAATTTCAAGAAAAATCTGTAGACAAATATTTTCCACAATTCGAAAAGGTAGCAGAGAATCTTAAATGGCCACGAAATGTTTGGTCAACAATGTTACAAAGTGTACTGGTTGGAAAAGCGGCTGAGGTATACTCTGCACTAGGGGTAGTTGAAAGTTCAGACTATGAGAAGGTCAAAGCAGCAATATTAAAAGCATATGAATTAGTACCTGAAGCATATAGACAAAAATTCAGAAAGTATAGGAAGTTTGATAATCAAACATTTGTTGAATTTTCACGAGAGAAAGAAGATTTATTCGATCACTGGTTTAGATCTAAGAAACTTGATAAAACTTTTGCTAATTTGCGCCAAGTCATCCTGGTAGAAGAGTTTAAGGAATGTGTTCCTCAAGATTTGAAAACACATTTAGAAGATAAGAATGTGAAAACTCTTGAAGAGGCAGCAGTCATATCTGATACTTATGCTCTGTCTCCTAAAAAGAATTTTGTTTCAAGATCTCAGACTAGCAGTAATTCTACCAATTCAGACACATATAAAAAGAGTGGTTCAGGGTCTCAGTCTTTCACAAGTTCCCAGTCTCCATCCCAAGGTGGTTTTAAGTCCGGTCCAGGACGTATTGAAGGATCTTCTGGAATAGGGTCGCTTCCTACTTGTAGATATTGTAAGAAAAAAGGTCATCTGATCAGTGAATGCTTTAAACTTAAGAGAAAAAATGATTTTGATAAAACTCAACCACATGCTTGTGCGGCAGTTAGAGGTGATAGAGAAGCCTTAGTTTCGATTTGTTCTGACACTCCTGATGTCCAGGGTTCACAGTCCAGTTCTATTGATTCTATGGAGGATTATAAGCCCTTTATGTCTCAGGGATTTGTTTCACTCGGTGACTCTAGCGAAATTAAACCTGTCCAGATTTTGAGAGATACTGGTGCTGCACAGACGTTATTGTTAGAGGGCGTGCTTCCTTTGTCTGAGCAGACATCTACTGGTGGGTCAGTTTTATTACAGGGTGTGGAGCTAGGCGTCATTGATGTTCCCCTGCATAGAATTTGTTTGAAGTCAGATTTAGTTACTGGACCTGTTATCGTAGGTGTTCGACCTACTCTTCCCGTTCCAGGCA